GGATAATTCTTTTTAAAATAGTTGATACGCAAGTAATTAAAGATGTCCCTAAGGGATCATATCCAAAGTTTCAATACTGAAAATATTGGAAGAAAAAAAGAGTTAAAATGAAAAGAGAAATGGCTGAAGGATGAAAAAATGTCAATGAAGAGGAACACCGTGGTGTTAATGGTACTTGTTTTAATTTACCACATTTTACCGTCATGTACCTTCTTAAATCATGAAGCTCATCAAGGAATAAATATACATTTCAAATAAAAAAAGTAAATAAGTAAGCAAAGAAGGTGGGATCAATAAGCAAACAATTAGAAAAAAGACCAATGAATGGAATTGAACTTAACGTTTACGCTTGATCTATTACTTGTGAACCACGAGAAACTCGAATACCGTCTAAGATTGGTACTTGAAACAGAAATTTTATTATCCCATTCAGTTGGACTTTCGGGAGGAGATGTAATGGCAAGTAGAGCACCATCAACACACGTTGTCCAAGGATCGAACTTTCGCTCGGTACCTAGTCAGACCTTTAAGTCTACTCCTACCATCCTCCGGGTTCGGTTTATTGGCACCAAACTTATTAGACTGAAAAAAAACAGACTTGTGCATGGGCGAGCCAATTCAAGTCGTTGTGGTGACGCACTACTAACCTCCATGAAAGTCAAACGCAGGCCGCATTTCAAAAACAGGATCCATTAATGACTCAGGACTCAAAGACTCTATTTTTCTAATTCACAACTTCAACCGAGTTGATATGGAAAGAAAGTTCTTATTTATAAGCCGACGCCTACCTTACCCCGGGAATTCTTTCCTTCTACATTGGTTTTTCATTCGACGATACCTCCTGCTTACCTAATAGGAGTGCATAGACTGGAAAGTTTCGGAGGATTCAGTATAATTTATTGACAAGAAAAGCCAATACAGTACTGGGCAGTTAGAGGCACAGTTCACGTTAAAAATGACCCATGAGATATTCCGCTTGGATTAATCTGTGGTCCCCTCGTACAGCATATGTAGGTGGCGCTGTCAGGTGGAAAACGGTTCAGATAGGGCGTTAAAAAGGCTCAAAGATTGTCCAGTGTGTATGTGCGGACGAGTTTCAACGGCATTGTAGAGGCTGCACCATTCTCAAGGGAACATATGTAAGATGTTCAAATTCTTGTCATGGCCCATAGCGACAGTTAAAGGCAAATCTGAAGAATTTGGCTAGATGTAGTCTCTTTGCGCAACTGCAACAACAAAATCACGTCCGAAATACCCCTTTCATGCCATTCCATTACGGTAATCTCGTACAACCTCTATTACTACTTTTAGCAAATATATTTCAGAATTTAAACTAAAATCGGCGAGTTTCCTCGATTTCTTCACCACCGATGCACTAATTCTTAGCAATGCTTCCGTTTTTTGACTGAACAAGGTCTCTTGAAATTATGGCGAATTGTGCCTTCGAACTAGCGGTAAAAAAAGAATTGAGTGAAAAACACAAGTTGTCGACTATAGAGAAGCAGTCGACGTAGGGGCAAATGTCGCCACCGCCTAGTACAGGGATCAATACAGACACAGACTTGGTCTCCCCTTTCTGTGAGAGGGTCAATTTGTGACAGAATCGGTTATTTTTCCAGTACTCAATTAGCTTTGCCTGTTAGCCAGTCATTATAAATAAATCGTACTGAATTCCCCCAAGTTTTCCATCTATACACTTCTGTCAAACAAGCGGGAGGTAATGTCCAATGAAAAACCAATGAAGAAGACCAGAATTCTCGGGGTAAGGTAATCACATAGTTGTGCAACGTTTGGCTTTGGCAGATATCATATATGTGTACGAATCAAAAGGCAAAAAATTTGCTTTTACCGTTAATCCATCTCGTTATTGAGATGCTCCCTCGGACTCGACTTCCACTCACCATCAGAATAAAGGCTGTACAACGACCTGGGGTTCTCAGGCAATAAACAAATCTGCGTTTTTATCCTCTCGTTTGAATCAGGAACTAGTCAACAAAACTCGGAGAGATGGGAGGCTCGGATGGCTTGAGCGCGATCGATCCGTGACTCGTTCTCTGGACCATGTCTGTGATAGTATGCGCTACTTGCCACTACACCACCTCCGCCAATGCATGTAGTGATATACTAAGAAAAATTTAAAAGTCTTGGAACGTCAATCAATCCCGTCTGGAGATGCGCCCATGCATTCGACTTCCATTCAGAATGGCAGGGGCGTATGACGCGTATGTGGCCTGTAAAACGAATTGCGTTGACCAGCTGATGTAAAAGACAGTGTTTTCATCCTCTCACAAGGGAAGGATCCCAAGTCGAAGTGGCCGTTTGAAATGAGACCTATACTGCTAGACGTATTTTTTGATGCTGATTTCAAATCTGCATTCGAAATCTGCCAGCGTGACGTGAGGCGTGACGCTTCATAGGCATGGGACCAAGGATCGAGTTTGGTGGGCGATGGCGTTTTTGCATCTTGCAGGACTTTTTCCTCCAGATTGTAAAAAGCTTTTTATGTTAGTTTTACCGCCTCCAGCGACTTTATAGTTGC